ACATTACAGTGAATCAAAATACAAAGAAACCTTACGAAGAAAAGAGGATGGGCTTTCTAAAACTGCAGCATCGGTTAACAATCTAGGGAGCTGGTCCCAAACACGAGGCAACCTGATGGCTACCGAGTTGAAAAATGCTTGGGTCCTTGATGCTTCATGGTGACGGAAACACAAGCAATCATTATGTCTGGTATTGATTTTGATACCATCATAAACCGTGCTGCAGCTTAGAAGGCCCATCAGAACTTTAAAGCAAAAAAATATAAGCAATTTGTCCCTTCTGACAGACAAAGATGAAAAAGAAAGCAAATGTAACCTCTCCTCAAAGCTCATTTGTCCTCGATGTTGGAAACCAGGCGGGTTGAGCATACTCCTGGCCTGGCAATACAAAAAATGAGAGACAAAAATGCACTGGTCGAAGCATGTCAAGCCACGCTCCAAACAAAACCAAGAATTAGCTTAGCTTTGGAAACAATGACTTGGACATAGTCCTCCCAGGGCAATTTTGAGTTGAAAGTAACACCAAGGTATTTAATGGTGGTCACCGGACTAATAAGAGAGCCAGACAAGAAATAGGAAGACAATTGTTTATTACACGAGAGTGTGATATGTAAAACATTTGTCTTCAGAACGTTGAAAGGCATGCGGGTTACTTCACTCCACAGAATAAGTTGGTCAAAAACTGCTGGAAGTTTGAGAGAGTCTTGAGGAGAGGTTATAGGACTATACTGCCCCCCCCCCCCCATGGCAAAAGGGCATAACTGACATTTTTGGCGAAAATGAGTTATATAGCCTAGTAAGGTCAGTACATCATGCTACACATGTTGACACAAAAAAAAAAATTGTAAAAAAAGTGTCCCCCGGGCTAGATAGGGGCATGGCAAAAGGACATAACTACACAATTTTCAGTAAATTCCCAAGGCAAAAGGGCATAACTACAAAGATAGGCTGTGATACGCTGAAGCGTGACGTTCTTTCAACAGCCAACCAATCAGAAGAAAGCTTTCTCCCTGGTTACAATGAAGGTTGCATGTTAAGTTTTATTATTTTTATTATTCTTACTATTTGTATACTCACAATTTGTAAATAAAAATTGGTTAAATAATATGATACTTGACAGTAGCATATGTCTAGTTAATGTTAGGCAAACATGATAAGTCAATTTATGCTATGTAATCTTGCCTTAATTTGAATGGCAACAGTTTAATACTACGGAAATAGACTGTGGGAAAATAGTAACTGTTTAATAAAAAAAATAATTAACCATTGCAGAATAACAATTCACATTTTAACTAGAAATAACAGTGGCAAAGAGGGACAACTAAAACGGTTATTTAGCAAATAACTATGGCAAAGAGGAACAACTACAACATTTATTTATAGCAAATGGCATGACAAAAAGGTATAACTGCACAGTCTACTCGAATCAACTGTGTTCACTAATCAAACAACAACTTATTTTTCCATCTAAATCTAAATATATAATACATTTTCTAAATATTTTATTAGAATATAAAAAAAAAACAATAATATTATTAATCATTTTATTATTACTTGAATTTAGATCATATAGAAGAATTGCTAATAAAAATAATAATAATAATAATAGGTCTAATTTATATTGTAATTACATGACTTAAATATATATTTATTATTTTACTTTGTAAATAAAACTTAGAAAATAATTGTAATTCTTGTTTAATGTACACATAGAAACAGTCACACGCGCTTTCTAACTAAACAGCAGTTCTATTTCATATACGCATACGCATGCATCCTTCTCGCAGTGACGTAACACCTATGCGTTCTTGTGCGGGGATCCAGACCCCTAGGGGTCCATAAGGCCCCCTACCCACAGGGTCCTCGATCTAGCACCTTCAGCCAAAAAGTCTTTGTTGATACATAACAGCATACTAATGTTAATTCATTTTCTTGTTTGTATATTTGGTTAGCCTATACATGGGTTTTTATTCGTTTGTAATTTTAGTATTTATTATTTAATGCGTTTCTTTGGTATTATTGTACATTTATTTGATAGTTTATACATGAATAACATATGAAATTATATATTGAATGTTATTTTTGAATAATCTGACTTAAAATTGCGTTGGAAGAAACTAAACTGTGTACTTATATCCTTTTGCCAAAGTTTGTCAACATGTCTTAAATCAGAAAACCCACGGCAAAAGGGCATAACTGACATTTTGAGCGCAAAAATCAATATTTATAGAAAAAATGTGTGCTACACTGGAAGAGACATTATTTGTCTATTTGAATACATTAACCATGAAATCAAATACTAAAACTCATTTTAGGGCTAAATAAATTTCAATTTTTGCTTAATATCTCCAAAACAGCAAATTTTCAGTTATGCCCTTTTGCCATGGGAGGGCAGTTTAAATAAGAGTGTCATCAGCAAAAATAGCAGTTTTACATTTAAGCGAACAAGCAAAGTCATTAATAAAAAAAGAATTAAAAAGGATGGGACCAAGTACACTGCCTTGCGGTACCCCACTGCTTACCTCTACCAAGTTAGATGAGGATCCCTTAAATTTAACTTTCTGAAAACGTTTAGTCAAAAATGACTTTAACCAGTATCAGATATTACCAGAGATGTTAATTTGCTGGGAAAGCTTATTTAGGATGAGGCATTCGGTCAAAGTCCTTTGAAATATTTTTTTAAAAAGGCATCAATGAGTGGTGGGGATCTTTGATCGAAAATATAGGATCAGTCATTAATGATAGTTGCAAGTTGCGTAGTACATGATTTTTTAGGTAAAAATCCATGTTGGTTCTCAATGAGCAAACAATTATCAATAGCATGCTGCGGAAGTGCTTGTACCACCAGCCTCT